AGATGAACATAAGGGAAGGGAGGCAAAAATAATATAAAAACAAGGAGGGAGACAAACATAAGCGACTCATAACTATGGAGAAAAAACAGAGGGTTACTGGAGAGGTTGTGGGAGGGGGGATGGGCTAAATGGGTAAGAGGCATTAAGGAATCTACTCCTGAAATCATTGTTGCACTATATGCTAACTAACTTGGATGTAAATTAAAAAATAAATTAAGGAAGAAAGAATGAAGGAAAGAAAAGGAAAGAAAAGAAAAAGATCCTTTAAAAAATTGAGGTATAATTTACATACAGTAAAATTTGCCCTTTTCAGTATACAGTTGCACTCGTTTTGAAAAATCCATACAGCTATATAATCACTATCATATGCAAGATACAGAGCAGTTCCAGAATCCCCCACAATTTTCCCAGTCTTTGCGTGGTAGCCTCTCCCCACCCCAAACTTCTAGAAACCTCTCATCAGTTTTCTGCCCCTTTAGTTTTAATATTCGAGAATGTCATATAAAGGGGATCATACAGAATGTAACATTTTGGAGCTGACATCTTTCATTTGGCATGACACAACTAAGATTCACTCGTGCTGTTGGGCAGATAAATAGTTTGTTCCATTTCGTGGCTGAGACTACCCATCGTGCCACAGTGTGTTCATCCGTTCACCAGTTGATGGACCTTCAGGTTGTTTCTAGTTTTTGGTGAATAAGAATAAAGCCACTAGGCAAATTCGCATACAAGTTTTTGTGTGGACCTAGGTTTTTATTTCACTTGTGTGGATACCTCAGAGCAGGATTGCGGAGTGGTAGGGTAACTAAATGTTTCACTTTTTTTAAAAAAATTTTTTTTCAACGTTTATTTATTTTGGGGACAGAGAGAGACAGAGCATGAACGGGCGAGGGGCAGAGAGAGAGAGGGAGACACAGAATCGGAAACAGGCTCCAGGCTCCGAGCCATCAGCCCAGAGCCTGACGCGGGGCTCGAACTCACGGACCGCGAGATCGTGACCTGGCTGAAGTCAGACGCTTAACCGACTGCGCCACCCAGGCGCCCCTAAATGTTTCACTTTTTAAGAAACTGCTAAGCTGTTTTCCCAAGTGGCACTGTTCCACTTCTTATTTCCAACAGAATCATGTGACGGTTCTGGTGGCTCCACGTCCTTGCCAGTTATTTTCAGGTTGTTGTTTGGTTTTGGTTTTTACTTTAGCCATGTTAATAGATGTGTAGTGGTATTTCACGGTAGTTTTAATTTGCATTTTGCTATTGGGGATGTTGAGCATCATCCTATGTGCTGATTTGCCATTCAAATATCACCTTTAGTGAAGTGAAAATTCAAATCTTTTGCCCTTTCTAAAAATTGGGTTTAACTATTAATACAATGGCCGATATGTATATAAACATCCATATATGTATTGTTTCCTTTGATCACAGCCCTGGGAGGGAAGCAGGGCAGATGTTATTCCTTAACTCTCAGTTTTCCAGTTCCCTGAGAAATTGAGGCTAGAATGGTTAAATGACTTGCCCAAGTTCACACCAAGTGGCAGTACGAGGGTTTGAGCCTGGCCTGTCACTGATACTCCTTCCTCCACTAACTGCTGACTTATCCTTCCTGAGGGCTGGGAGGGCCACTGCTGGCTCAGCGGGACTGTGAACTGTCAGCTGAGGCTCTGGCTGAGTAAACCAGCACCAGCCAAATTATGGAAAGGTAGTTTGTGCTTGCCAGCTGTGGTACAGACACTTCCATCCCCTTTCTCCAGCAAAACTTCCCTGTGCTTTGTCTCCCTTCTCTGGAGTCCAACTCCCAGCTACTAACATGTAGAAAAAAAAAAAAAAATCTATCACAGAAATCTTCCCTGACTCTCTCCTCTTCCCACTCCTGCTTGGGGAGTTTTGCATTTTAACAGGGGCTTTGGGAGACACCTCTTCTTCATGTAGTGATTTTCAAACTGTCTATTAGAGCTTCAAGTTTCCCCAAGAAAGGGCCTAAAGACCAGTTCAGGTGTGATAGTTACCAGAGGGCAGGTGGGTGGGGCATGGGTGGAATAGGTGATGGGGATTAAGGAATGCAGAAGAGGGTTTTATTACCAAGAAACCCCACAAAAACAAATAGCCCAGCACAGGTGGGAGGTGGGTGAATGGCAAGAGGCTTTGGATCCACCTCACCTAACCAAAGTGGTTCCATTTTTATTTGTTTACATAATGGGTTTCATTTAAGATTTTATTTGAAAAGAAGCATGTGTTGCTCTCCAAAACATCCATAAAATAAACAAACCAACATATTTTTCATATATCCCGGAATGCAGATATTTTACTAATTGAGAGTGATTCCTGAGCATCCCCTCATTCCCAGGTCAATGTGAGTCATCAAGATTTTCCCTCATTGAAAAACAGAACTGACTTTCCGAATCTGTTCTCCATGACACACTTCTGATAGGTTACATCAAGATATCGACTCCTTTTGGCCCTGGGGGCATATAGAAGGGCTTGGCTGGTGTTTTCAGACCTTGATCATTTCCATCTGTTTACTCTAATGCACTAAATAATATATTTTTCTACGTGTGTCCTGATGTGGAAAAAGTTAGAAAGCACCAAAATAGAATAGTGGCTTGGGCTTGGGCTCTGGAGTTATGTAGTCAGGTGTCCTGATTCTCACTTACCAGCTGAGTGGTCCTGGAAAATTGACTAAGGTATCTAAACCTCAGTTTCCTCATCTGTAAAGTGGGGATAATAGCACCATATTGCTCAGGACCATTGTGAGGATGAAAAGATAATGTATGTGGCACACAGGGCACAGTTCCTGTTACAGATGAAGCACTCAGTAAACAGTAGCTCCATTATCAATAGCCCCTTCAGCCCTGGAGGTCAAGTTTGCCACAGGTGTACTGCTGCTCTTAAAATGAGTATAAATGTGAAGCAGCAGTAACCAAATAGGGTCACGATTTTTAAAGTTATTGATGTTTCTAACACTTCGTTTTCATCTCTCTGGTAAGAAAGATGAAACATACATGTTTGAATGCCATTAACAATGCCTCAGGAAGCAATGCTTCAGAAAGAGCAGAAGCAAAGTAAAATAATTAATGTGTTCAGAAGTTTTTTAAAGGCACATTTTTCTTTGTATTTTGTTACAAAAAGCAATCGCCTTAGTGATGGTTGAACAGATCCAAATGAACCATTATGGTTTGGACACATCCTTAAAAGATTTTTCTTTTGAACACCAAATGACTTCACATTACTGTCCTTTGATCTACTGTAATCATTTTTTATATTTTCCTATAATATTCTAAAATACAAGAGACTGTAGTTCAGTATAGCCACATCAGTATCCTTTAACCCAGCCAACTGTAGGTTGCAATAGGAAAGGTTTTCATAAGAAGAAGGAACACTTACCAAATCCATGGATCTCTTTGCAAAATGATTTTATTCATTTGAGCAGTAAAAGTATGTCTCAAACTAACCCAGTGTTTTCCAATATCTAGTGGGAGTATTTTCCATTCAGTTCAGGTCAAAGTGTGACACTGTGAGGGTCTTTTTTGGAGTATGTAGTATTATCCCTGCTCTTAAGAAATCTAATTTCATTATCTTCCAATTCTAGCTCATATTTCCAGCATTTCCACAAATCAACACCTTAACTATGGTGCCCACCCTTCTGTGTCCAAGGTTCAAACACAAATGGCATTTCAGAGTCTCCATTTGGAAGAATGATGGATTTGCCTCTGACAGACTCACTTGAGATAGAAGTTTCTCTGCTACTGCCCCAGAAGAAGAGATGAGCCCCATTTCACAATCAAAATAGAGGATAGCAAAGGAGTCTAGTGACAGTGTTTCAGCTGAGTTTGCAGACTACCACCCAACTGAGAAAGTTATTCAACAACCTGCTCCATTCCTGACCATCTAGGTAGCCTGGAACAAGTTATTTCACCTCTTTGTGCCTCAGTTTCCTCATCTGTAAAACATACAAGTTTGCATGTGGGTAAATATATTAGAAGAGTGATGTATCTAGGAAGCACCTCACTCAATGTTCCCCGTTGCTGTTATGAGTCATACAATAGTGGTAATACTATTGTTACTTTCCTGAACACTAATCCAAAAGGCAGCCATTAGCTCTGCATACCTGCCCTGTGTTGGGAGGAGGAGAGAAGTGTGGGAACCAATCAGCCCAAAGCTGGAAACACTAGGGCTATTAGGTGAGATGTGGGGCAGGAAACAAGCCCTCCTTCCTCTGCAGCAATCCCTGGCTCCTTTCTATGGTGTCTCCCTCACCCTTCTACACAGGGTAACATTAACTCTTCTTTGATTTCCTTACATTTCCTTCTCCTGCACAATTTTTTTTTTTTTTCTGGAGATAAGAACCACCTAGGAAAACCAGTAGTGCAGATACTTATTTTTTTAATGTTTATTTCTGAGACAGAGACAGAGCATGAGTAGGGGAGGGGCAGAGAGAGAGGGAGACACAGAATCAGAAGCAGGCTCCAGGCTCTGAGCTGTCAGCACAGAGCCCAACATGGGGCTCGAACTCACAAACCGTGAGATCATGACCTGAGCCGAAGTCAGCCACTCAACTGACTGAGCCACCCAGGCACCCCTGCAGATACTTATTTATGGCAATAAGTAGTCTCTTCCTAGTGGGTCACTTCTCTGGTTACCGTCACTTGAGTTATATTCCATAAAAGAAACAAGCTGTTGAAACACAGTAGATGAGGTTTTTTTGTTTGCTTGTTTTTTTAATCTCAGGCACATGAAGTGCAATACAACATTTTATTTGTCAATATTGCTGGGTTCCTACAAGATAAAGTCAAGAGATCACACATCTTTTAACTCAAAGATAACAGTATGTGTATGAGTGTGTGTATGATTTATGTACATATATACTAATAATATGTAATTACATATTAGTCTATTTTCTTAAGTATTTATTTATTAGAGTGAGAGAGAAAGAGTGGGGGAGGGGCAGAGAGAAAGAGAAAGAAAGAAAGAAAGAGAGAATCCAAAGCCCACACGGGGCTCGATCTCATGAAGCACAAAATCAGAACCTGAGCCAAAATCAAGTCAGTCTGCTTAACCAACTGAGCCACAGAGGCACCCCTAATCAGTCTATTTTCTAGGAGAGATCCAAAGTGACTGGAACCAACAATAAGAAGGGGAAGAAACTTAATCCTAACTTAGGATGGGGACCTGCATCTGCCCCCCAATAGAGTGTGAGCTATTGAGGGTCCGTCTTGCCTGTGGTTCATCTGAACATTCATTGGCATAGTGAGTAATGACTCCCCAGAGATAAAGCTCCTTTAAGCAACATCATCATGGCTGAGAAGATTAACAAGGGAAAGAATAACTTTTAAAAGTCAGGAGAACTAAACTACCTGTTCTCCATCCAGAGCTTCTCTATGTCTCTTTAGTTTAGAACTAAACTGAGATAGAGCTTCTCCATCTCTCTCCATCCCAGGGACCACTGATGAAAGCCAAGAACTCTTCCCAGTGCCCTTTCTGTGGCTGCCATCCTCCCTTTGCACTCCTGCCCCAAACTTACTGATTTCCCTTCCCACTTCAAATACACACTAGCAATTCACCACCATCCTCCCCCTCTGAAAATTGATAGAAGTCATAGACACAAACCTTTTTTTGCTGATTATCCTCTAAATGAAGATCTTCTCTGAAGTATTTGCTCAAGTAGGCATCTGGTTTTAAGTCTTCCATTTCTGTGTGTGGAACAGATTGATTTGTTCATCAAATATTCACTGAGCCTTTATCACTGTGTCAAACACTAGTAATTCCCACTGTGATAAACAAGACCAAGGTGGCCATTGCCCTTGTGAAGATTTGCCACCTAGTAGTTGAAACTGATATTAATCAAATAAGCAGGCAGATATATAATTACAAGTTATAATTACTATTAGGAAATAAAAGCAAGATGCTCTTGAGGACAGCACAATATCTACCTTGGATTGGGTCCTCTATTTAAGTGACCTAAAGAATAAAAAAGAACTCACCATGTGAATAGTTGGGTAGAGAACCTTCTGGGCAGAAGAATCAGTAATGATATCCCAGAATAGAGAAGGCGCTTGGTGCATTTAGGAACTGAACGAAGGCCTGTGTGGGTGGAGAATAGAAAATAAATGGGGATGAAGCTGAGGAGTCTGGCAGGGGCCAGATCATGCAGGCTTTTATGGGTTATGCTATTAATTTTGCATTTTCATCTAACAGCATTGAGAATCCACTGAAGTTTTAAGCAAAGGAATGACATGGTCTACTTTGTGTCGCAAAGAGATTCTTGTGGGTGCTGTATGGAGAATAATTAGTAGTAGGCGAGACTAGAAGTAAAGAGAAGAGTGGATTACGGGAGTAGCCCTGTGAGAAACAGTGGCTTGGAACGTACATCCTTGGTTATGGGAACTAGGTTAGTTGTCTTGAGCTCTGAGCTCAGGAGAGGGTGTGTATCCTACCCTTCTCTTGTCTGAACAGCACTGAAATTCATTTTTGAATTCTCTGTCTTCAACAGTATTGCCAAGGGTTTATGAAAGAGGTCCACACTACGGTGTTGTTTTTTTTTTTTAAGTTCTTGTTAATGTTTATTTATTTTTGAGAGACAGAGTGTGAATGGGGGAGGGGCAGAGAGAAAGGGAGACACAGAATCCAAAACAGGCTCGAGGGTCTGAGCTGTCAGCACAGAGACTGATGCAGGGCTGGAACCCACGAACCATGAAATCATGACCTGAGCCAAAGTCAGGCACTTAACCGACTGAGCTACCCAGGCACGCCCATGGCTGTTTTTAACTGTGTTTATCTTGGGCAGCCCACACTGGTTGCAGTCCTTCTAGGGAGTGCCCTAAATCTTGACCTCAGGTGGTGAGAGTCCAAGTATACTTGAAGATAAGACTGATAAGACTTGTGGGTGGATTGTATTTGTGAGGTGAGGGAGAGAAAGGAATCAAGCATGACTCCAGGGGATAGTTGTGCCACTCACCAAGATGGGGAAATGAGGAAAGAGTGCAGAATAGGCTTGGGGAGAAAAGATTTCCACTTTTGACCTGTTAAATGAAGACGCCAGTGAATGATCCGAGTGGAGACAGCAAATAGACAGGTGGACACACCAGCCCAGAGCTCGTAGCATAGAGCTCAGCAGAAACATTCAGGAGTATTGCTGCTGTATAAAAGCCACATGAATAGAGGAGAATAGCTAGGAGACACTAAAAAGAAAGAAAATGACCTAAGACCAACCCCTGAGAAATGCCAACATTTAGAGGTCAAGTAAAAGAAGAGGAAATTGAGAAGGAACTGCCAAAGAGAGAGTCTAAACAATAGGAGAACAGAGTGTCATGGGAGCCCAGAGTTGGCTTTGTTTCTGGCAGTGAAATGTGGTGAGATAAAGCATTAAGATGAATACAGAGAGATAGCCTCTGGACTTGCCAATAGAAAGATCACTGGTGACCTGGACAAGAGCAGGTAGAGGAAGTCAAGTTGGAATAAGAGGCTTTTTCCTTTCTGATTTCAGCCCATTGGGCTGGGAACACTGTTTGGACAATGGGGCTGCAGAAACCCCCGCAGGCCCACATGGCTGATTTTGTCTTCCTAGGATGCATCTCTGTTATTTCCAGTTCTGGTTAGAACATCTCAGACAGGAAGAATGTGGGCAGCTCATCTTCCTGGGCACCGACTCAGCAAATGAACACAATCACATGCTTTAGGCGGTGGCCGGGTTGGAGAAAAAAAAAAGAAGGGGGAAGGAGCCAGGAGGAAAATAAGGTTTGAAGGAAGCAGAACAAAATATGGTTGTTTCTTCTGGTTATTGTGTATCAAGATTTCATGAAAACTGGAGTTTGAAATGTTAGAGTAGGACTCTTCCTGACCACCAGGGTTCCTGTCACCCGGATGAGGCCGGTGAAAGGGCAAGGTGGGGGAGGGGCTGTCTGCTGCCCTTGGCGCTTATACACAGCTTTGCAGGCTCCTGCCTCGTGCAGACACCTCATGGCTAGTATTCAGATGGAGAATGCTTGTCCAGAAAAATGAAAACTATTAAGCCACTTATACAAATGTCGATCCTTTAAGTCATTTTATGTTAAGATCTAGTTCATTTTAATTTCTCACTAATACTCGCAGTCAGTAGTAGCTTGGAATATTTTAGCATGTAGTTTCTCCCACTAAGAATTTAATGATCTATAAACAAACACTTGAGAAATCTTTTTATCATAAGAGGTATTCTTTTGTGCTTTGTATTTTGAATGATTTCACCTTCTAGCTTATTATCACAAGTAAGATGTTCAGAAATAAATGCTAAGTATTCTGTTCAGTGAGGGGGTCTAGTCCCTGTTGGTCAGCAGTGGCCATTGAGCATGTCCATTTCACATGCTTTGATCCTATTTGCAAGGCAAGATGTTAGGAAAATTTTCTCAGTAAGTGCAAAAGAGGAAAGAAACCCAACATTTTACTCTTGGCTGACCCATTTTGTCATCTTGGTCAAATTACTTAACCTCTCTCTGCTCCAATTCCTCCTTCAGGAAATGCTGTGAATAATATCAGCCTCCCTGTATCTCACAGTAATTCAAGGCCAGCTAATTGACTCTGCCACAGTGATGGAATTGGCCCAGGTGGGGGTGGGAGGAATGTTGGAGAAAGATATTAAAAGTGAACTATCATTATCACGGTCCAAGCTAGAGATTACCATTGTACAACGACACTCTAGGCCTTTTGGAAACCACTTTTAACTCTTTCAGGCAATATCTTCCTGTATGATGGAATTGCCACGGACTATCATTTGCTCTGACGGTTTCATTTTCAAACGCTACCCCAGCCAGAATCAGAACATACTCCAATTTTCAATGAAAACATTTGCATTTGAGGATTTTAGAATATTCCTCGAGGTAGCCAAGTCTACCCGGGGTAGAGCAACACAGCACATGGGAATCACAGCATATGGGAATGGCTGATTTACTGGCACTTACTCAAAACCTCACCTGCTAGTATGCTAGTTAATGTGGCCCAGTTTGTAAGTGGGCCACAACTGGGACATCTAAGAAAAATCTGACTCAACTATGTGTATAAAATCGTTATAGTCCTCCCATTGCAAAGTGATTTTCCCTTTGAAAGTGCAAGTCTCATCTCTGTGAGGTAAACATTTCATCCTTACCTTATAAAGGGAGAAAATGAGGCTCAGAGAGATGAAGTAGTTGATCTCAAACCCCATCTTGGTAAATGCCAGAGGCAGGATTAGATTCCAGGTTTTCCCATGCTTTTCCAGGACTTTTTACTTTTTACTCATGTGAACATGATAATGGATATGTCTATGAAAAGAAGGAAGAGAATATTATGCCTTAAAATACTCCATTCAAATTTCACATCAAAGGAGAAACTTTTTATAACTGACTTGATATTGTACAGGTGACCAGAATTTCTGGAACTATCAACCCCACTGCCTTTATCTTCTCCTTATCTCTTTATAAATCAGCATCAAAGGTACCAGATAAGAATTCTCAAATTTTAAACAAAGTAGACCCTTGACATTCACAGATTCAGTCTGAATAAGAACCTCTAATTGTCTGTGACACATAAGGTTCCAGTGGTGGGAATCTGACCCACAGGCACTGAGGCTGGTATGTGGGACAGAATCTCTGGGGCTAGTGAAGAGCCTCTCCTGCCACCCAGCATTCAGATTGCAATGTGGTCTCCTTGTTCCCACTCATGACGGTGTACCTGTTCTGTGGAGAAAACTTACGCCCTAGAAAGTCCAAAATCTGAGGATTTCCAAAGGTTTGGGGGACATACTCCTAACAAATATCCAAGGATCACTGTATTGGATTTTCCTGCTTTAATTTTGCTTTAGTGGCCAGAAACTTTAGTGCTCATAGTAGTAACTAACTCATCCCAGATTCCTAACACATCTGTCCTCCTACTTGGCCTCTGACCTTTAAAACAAAAAAGCGTTTCTCATTTTTATCATTCTATTTTGTATGTGTGTTGTTATAAGTGTCTCAAGCCTCAAAGTAGGGAGATCTTAAACCCCAAATAAATGTTGAAACTAGGCTTCCTAGAAAGAAAGAATTTCTCTAAATCTGGCCCTGCTATAATGTCAGGATTACTCAAAAGAATTAAGGACTGTGATTTCCAAAAGACAACAGTAAAATTTTTTTTGATGAATTTATCCAAATTCCAAGAGCATCTGGTGGTAGCTAATTATGCTTTGAGTGACACCTAACGGTTGAAAGTCACTGTCCCAACTTCTTCCAGAGGATTCAGACCAGTGTTTCTCAAAGCTTGGTTCTCGGACCATCTTCAGAATCATCCGGTGCCTGTTAAAAATGCAGAGAAATTCCTGGGCCCCAAGCTACGGAATTCTCTGGGACTAGCCACCTGGGAATCTGTATTTTTCACAACTATCCCAGGTGATTCAGATGTGTAACTCAAGTTTGAGAACCACTGATACTCTAGTTGCCGAGCCTATATCCACACGGGGCTGTCAGACCTGAAGGCACCCCAGGAAGCTAGAAGGGGCCAAGGCGGAGGGACGGATCAGGCCCGACCTTAGTTAGCAATGACCTCCCTGATCCATCAATGAGGGAAGGAGGTGGGGTAGATGAGTCAGGGAACACAGAACCCCCGGGGATACGGCCGGCTGCCCCGTTGGCAGTGAGGGTGGGAGCGGCGGTGGCTTGGGACCTTGAAAGCAGTCGCCCCTGGCCGCCTGCTCTCGTCCCTAAGGTAGAGAGAGAGAGGTCGCGGGAGCGTGGAAAGGCTGCGAGGCGCGCCTCCTAACGCCTGTGCTTCCTGTCCCACAGACGAACCCAACTGCTGGAGTTCTCCCGCTGCCGCCTCCCCAGGTCTGCCGGAAGTAGGCGTCTCCCTCGAAGACGTCCTCTCTCCATTCTCTCCATCACATCCAGCCCCACCCTCCGACCCTTCCCACCAGATAGGCCCAGACCCAACTTGGGATATCAAAAGGGAACACGACGTTAGGAAACCAAAGGAGCTTTCAGCCGGCGGCCAGAAGAAGCAGCGCCTCGGGGAGCAGAGGGAGCGCTCGGCCAGCCCGCAGAGGGCCGCTCGGCCGAGGCTCGAGGAGGCGCCAGGCGGCCAGGGGCGGCCCGAGGCCGGCAGGCCCTCCTCGGA